CCAGTTCTTAGGTCGGACTGCTGCTTTCTCGACCAGTACCTGCATTTTGCAACACTGCGTCCAAGTATAATCCGTGTTTCTTTTCCTTCCATCTGCTGTGGTCCTCTCAACCGGGAATTGTACAAAAACGATTTCCTTGATGTAAATTTAGACAACGGCGTGTTGAAGTTACGTTATTGGAATTCAGGTCTCTTTGTTTGAAGAAAATGAGATAATCAATGGAAAAATACGACTTTGAGATAAGTTTTTTTCAAGAATTTCCGCCATTAGATTTGGTCTAAATTCAATTACCTATTTTTTATTAGGATTGACTATCAGTCAATAATATTTTGCGTATTGGCAATCTTAGATCATTGACTGAAAGCACAGCATAGATGCTTTTTCTCATGAGCTTGTTGGCTTGCGTAGTTGAGGACCTCACATTTCTACTCATTAGATTGCAAAACGTATTCCTTTCTTTAGAGAAGCCTCGAGTACCGCAGCAAGTAATATACCGCGCCGCTATTTATGGCGAACACGAAGGATTTGCTATCTTAGCACTATCTTAGTGAAGCCTCTGCAAGCTCTTTTGTTATGACATTGCTATACCTTGCGGCTGCTCGAGCAGTGGAGTTGTCCTTTTTGGTGTATTATAGTCTGTTAAATAGGAATTTTTTAACTTAATGGTGTAAGTTAATAGCTTGCATCATCTCACCGCAAGGAGAGATCGCATTAGCGCATTTCATTCGTGTTGAATAGTGTCCTTTGAGGGTAGTATCGGTAAACTTTTTTGAATCCAGTGGAAGGTAGATCTGCGTGTAAGATCTAAGGAGTTCCCTGGCACTTACTTTGAGTTCACAGTACAAGAGCACCTTTTCATTTTTTCAGGTAAGGTGCACAGCCGCACCAATGTGTCTCGGGAATGGTCGCTCTTCCACACAATTCTCTTGAGTAGCACGGTAGAGTTCCCTTGTTCGCGAAAAATTTTGATGTGTTTAGGCTGGCCTATGTTGAAAAGGCGGGCGTCTTGTACTCTGACATAAACTTGAGATTATTGGTAATCGTGTATCTAGGCAATTAAATTAATTGATCAGTCAGTTATTTAGTCTATTCAGTTGGACAAGAGTCACTACCGATGTCGCACTCTATCAATCGTGAAGGACATTCTAAGAGTGAGCGTTGATTGAGATCTTCGAACATTTTACAAATAGTCATTCTCTCGTATGCAGGACTTTTCAATCCATAGGACCTTGTTCTGTGCAATTGTTGAGTAGCAGTACGTTGCCTATGAGAAAGAAAGGGAGTATAACATTGTATAACAGTCCTTTTTATTCTAAGGAGAAATTTCATTTATATTCAGCTCATTAGCCTTGAAAATCTCTGCAAACTCTTTATAATGATAAAATTTTTAGTGCTCGAAGCAAAAAGAATTTTCAGACCATCCGACTTCCATAATAACTTCTCTTTTCAGAACTTTGTGAACGTGGATTTGGATTATTGACGCTCTGAATTATTTTTGACTCAAAATGAAGCGCTACTCCTCAGAGAAGCTTAGAAAATCTCAAGTGAAAACTGGAATTGTAGCATAGGACTAGCACAACTCTTGTCAGGTACAGCTCTTCATGACTTACTTTGAGTGGCTGTTCTCGGGCTGGAATAGTTATATACGCATCGCAGTTTCACTTGTCCACTCTTAGCTTAGCTGTCTCTTCCAAGTACATCCTGCTCTTTGCAGCTTTTTGGCTGGCATCATCACTACAGGAAAAGCTATCAGCAATTATTTTACCAGGTTAGCTACTACAATAGAAGTTTTCGGTCGTTTTGACTGTTTCTAGAAATGCTGGTGTCATTTGTCTGTATAATGGGTATCATTGTAAAGAGTGTAAAAAATGTTCAACTTTGTTTAAAGGACACTTATCATTTTATGGGGACGAACAGGTGTGTAAAAGTAGAAAACCAGATTTTCTACCAACTTTTCGGAAGCTAAAGCACCAAATAACGAACTTAAAACTGAATGGGAATGTAATTTGATGCAACTACTTATATGGCTTTAGACGGTTAAACTTAGCGATCTGTACTGCCCACAGATTGCCTATGTCGCAAGATTCTCATATTTTTATTACAAAATTTCGCAAACTGCAACCTTTGTTGTGATTCGTCATACAGCTAAGTATGTACTCAGTTATCAAACTACTCCAGTCACTACGTTGAAACGTAACTCAGGAGGTGTCCAAATTATGATTTTCCAGATGGCTAGACATATAAGGGCATAATTGTCGTTCATTTATACGTTTTGAATATTGATATGTGGGAATAGAGCTTTAAACCTGCTCCCCCACAAAAAATCTTGGATTAGCTATCCAAGAACAATGTTTCATATTTGCATGTCAAGACGAAATTATTTATTCGCCAACCTAATATGTCAATGAATAAGATTGCTCATCGCTACACATACGCCTTAATCGTCTTCTCAACATGTCTTCGCATTGTACTTTGACCGTAAGTCGAGCAGCAATGTTGCTATTTTCTAATCGCCACGAAATTCCAGTGCTTTGGGGCAGCGAATGAATCGCTTGAATGACTTAATCCTTGGAATAGGGGACTAACATTATATGCGATTCATCGCACGCAGAAACATGGCGTTACTACGGACGCTGTCGAGGTCTCCCTGATCTAACGCACTTTCACCGTTCTTTCATCTGCTATTTATTTCACACTCGAACTACCTTAATTGGACGCAATGACATCCCGTCTCTGCGTGACTCGCCTTTATACCCCGTTGTATGTTGTAAAGTGCGAAATGTGGAGAAAAAACTGTTATTGCTAGTGTGATATTTAGTTTATACAGTAACGGGGTGTCCGCTTACAAGTTTGGCCTATTGATAAACATGTATAGAAATAGGCAATGTAAATGCTGAAATCTGAAAGAAGCAAACTGATTGCAATTGTGGACATAGCGGATATAAAAGTCTTGAAAATAACTAGTAATTTTCTTGATGCTTCTTGCTTTCCAAAAGAAGATGTAGAATACAGATAATTTAGCTGAAGATCTGGCTAACCGGCTTTGCTAATCGCAAGAAACCAAACAGAAAGTTATTGGAGCTTTTCGTCTTTGAATAAAAGACGAAACCTCAGACCATAAGTCGAAAGTTTCAAAAGGCGCTTATTTTGGTGCTGGAACGCACAATCGAGACTACAACTAGCGTTGAATCGTAATCGCATATGATTTGCTCAGATCTGAAGCATTGGCCATACTTAGGGCGAGCTCAATCGCTGCGCGCCATGGTATTGCTACATTTCATCATTATTCCTCGTAAGCGCAGTTTCTAGGAGCGAAAATTGCCATATTTGCACTAACTTACACCTAAGCAGTGCATCTGAAGCCCGCCCGTGGTGGGTTCTTAGACATCTGGCAAGTAGGTGCGTGCGACCACGACTTTTTGGAATGACTTTTTGGGACTGATGTTAAAGGCAGTGTTCGGGCAAAAACTCGATTTTTATAAAATCCACTTACCGGAGGTTATCCGCAACGCTGAACCCGAAAACCCCCATTAGAAAGCGCGGAAACAGCGAGAACATGCGTTTTTAAAACCCTTACAATTTGAAATTCGACGGTTCCCACCAGGCTGAGACGCAGAGTCACTGCAGGACCTTATGATTTTGACTGTAGCGGCATGCGTACTCTGCCGCATAGCAGGAACTCGAACAGGTCAGAAGACCCCGCCCCAAGGCGTAAGTTCCCCGCTTTCCGGTTGTTTTTCTTGCTTTAGGTCGAGCGTTATGACCTCGCACTTGCGCAATATTGTGTCTGAGGAGGGCCACTTTCGCCAGGCACTGAGATACCAAAATCCCCAACTTGCCCGGACACTGCCTTTAAAGGCAGTGTTCCGGCAGATTTTGCAGTTCAATTTTTTTGCATGTTTTGGGCCTTTTTGATCCGCAGACCCCGAATCTGAGGTTTGTAACGGTTGAAAAGACCTTTCTCGGGGCGTTTCCCCAATTTCCAAACGGCAGCTAGGGCGAGAATTTCAATGAAAGGTTGGAGAGGTCCTGGCACGAAGACCCTGCTGCCCGTAATCGCTTTAGATAGCATGCATAGTGCGAGAGAGCGGTCGTGGGGTCCCGCGCCGAACGCTAAGGGAAGTCATCCAAGCGCGCGCCGGTTCAAGGGCCATTTTCTCGGCACAGGGAGGACATCAACCAGCCGGACTGCGCCTGGAGGTCAGTGGGATGACCAGCAACCCCACCATAGCGATATCCCCCAGGGCGCAAATCTGCTGGGACACTGCCTGATGTTCAAGGAGCCGCACATAAGAAATGTCACATGGAAGCCGGGGCCTTCAAAATAACCTTTGATTTCTGGCTTGGCCGCTGGAAGCATGGGCCTTGTGACTTACTGAGTCCGCTCGCGGCCGCGATGCTGTCTGCGTCTTTCCCCCGCGTGCTCTCCGATCATTAGGGTTGAGCCAGATTGCGCGGCGTGCGCAGGTACGTTCTCTATACATATCATAGAAGCTTACGCGACGTACGCGTAGGCCGCGCAGTCTGGCTCAACACTTAGGGTTCCTTCATACTACGCCGCAGGATGTACATCTTTATTTGATGCACGTTCGTGTTCTCCGAGAGGCTCCTTCACAGCGAGCGAGCTTAGATCTTCATTGCGACTGCAGCGGCGCACGCCGCAGGACGCGGCAGCATACAGCAGCACGCCGCGTCCTGCGCAGTGAAGACATAAGCTCGCTCGCTGTGAAGGAACCTCTCGGAGACGAACGTGCAGCGAATATAGATGTACATCCATGACCGGCGAAGCTGTGCTGCTGTGAGCGTATATTTTCACTGCGACTCTAGCGGCGCATGCCGCAGGACGCGTCGTGCTGCGGCCTGCTGCCGCGTCCTGCGGCGTAGTATGAAGGAACCCTTACCTAACCCTAATTAGGTCAAGAAGCTTCGCCTTCCAGCCGCCAAGCCAGTCGAATCAAACGGTAAGTAATTGGAGTTTGGCGAGTGTTTATGCTTTAGGTATGTGGCAGTACATAGCGCTAGTCGTGTGCATCACCAGCGTCAGTAGTGCTGTACCAATTGTGAGTGGTCGCTGTGTTTTTCAAGACTTTTTAGCAAAGCTTTTCAATTTAGGCTCAGCAAAGATTAAGGCTTCGTAGAAGTAGGGGCGTCGATACGAGTTTTGCTGTTACTAAATTGAAGTTCGGATGCTTGGGCGATGGTGCAAATGACTGCGGAATTAGGAGGAGTAAGAAATGTTGCTGCTGCTGTTGTTGTGAGGTAGAAAAGATGAAACTAACTACTTTGAATACATGAATTTTTCAGAAGCCTATTGCATGTAATCCTATAATGGCTCCGTGTGATGTCCAGGTCCCTGTGGAATATCGTACCATTATGTACCCTGTGCCAGTGAATATTCGCAAGACTGTGGTAGTACCATGCAAACGGCCACGATTGACTATTCTAAAAATCTTGCCTATGTTGTCTCCTCAGCTAGTAAAAATTCCTGAGGCAGTGCCAAGCATTAATGTCCGAGAGGTTTCGTATCCGGTACCAGTACCGACTCCGGTGATCTGTACGCCACAAGTGGATTGTTCTATGCTTAAAGCTTACATGTGCACTTGTGATTCATCGTGCTCTTGCAATTGTCTGCCGTTTCGCTCGTACAGCTTTCCACCTTCCTGCTCATGCGACTGCCTAAGTTCCTCTCCTTGTATCTTCTATCCTTTTGTCAGTTGCACGTGCTGTCACACTACCATCTGCGATCATGGTCCTACAGGGTGCAATTGTTGCTGTCCATGTGGTCCCAGCATGTTGTGATTCAGCCTTGATTACGTGACAGATAAAGTTTCCTTACACAAACAGACTCAGCTCGGGCCAGGTATCATGTGTTGTGATTAACATGACCTATGTGTTATGTCTATCTGTCACGAATCTCACAGAGTGTGTTGCAGCAAACGTCTCGAGCCACAATTATGGCGCAGGTCGCCAGCATGTAGGTCCATAATACAAAAGTACGAGCGAATTCGCTGTAACCTACGAAAACTCGCATCAACAGGTCCACGCGACTTTTGGGCCGCAAATTGGAACCGTATTTAGACTTTTTACAAAATCACGAGTATGTCTGACAGGTATATCTGCAAGCCATCGGCTTAAGCCCAAAAAGTTACCAAAACTCATATTTTTTTCAAACGAAAACGGCTCCAAAAAGCCATGATTGCGTAGGTTGTCGATTTGTCGTGATTGTACTAAAGAAAATGAGAGGGTTTTTGCACAGATGTCTAGCTTACGGTTGCTATCGTACTCACGGCGAATTTTGAGCCAAAATGATTTTGATAAGTAATTCAAATTCGAACCTGTTCACCTGCAAAAAAGTTTTTTTCTTCTAAAGTCACTGATTTTACATGGAGTAACTTTTAGAATGAGCAGTTGTTTACGCTTAATTTGTGATGGTCAGTATTGCGCGGTGAGTTCCAAAGTCATTACTACGCGAGCACAAGGAAAACATATAGTTAGTAGAATCAGTGCGAATCTCTGCGAAGCAGAGGTGAAGCACTGGTCAATCAACATTTTTTCATTGCATATATGGACGGGGCGATCAAATTTCGACCTGATGGATTGTTTCATAAGTGCGCAACCCTTTATTTTTGTCCTCGTTCCCCATAATGCAGTAGGTTCGCAACATTCCTATACCATTAGAAGATATTCTTGCTCTGCTACATGTTTTGCGAAAAAAGTGATTTCATTTTCTCGCTCTGAGGTCTGAAGCTGGAAAAGCGTTACAGCCCAGAGTTTTTTGATATGTGCAGTTAGGTTAGAAATACTGTTGGAACTTGATATTGCATAAGGTCCAACAAAAATAAACGGTCAGAACTTATGCACAGTCATTTGCACAGTTTAGGCAAAGCTATTCTAAAAATTGCTAAATTGTAGGGCCGAAAATTCTAACTGCTTATCAAAGCGCAAATTTAGGCGGCACATGCAGCATTTTTCGCGACCATGTTAGAAAGTTTTGGCGAATCAGCAGCTGTTGTTTGTTTAGTGTCGGCCTTGAGTTTTACCAGCATTTCTTACACGCTTAATATGACTTCAGCTAGAAAAGGTGAGAAAGCCTCATTTTTGCCTTTATTTGAAGTTTCATTTTGTGAAGCCAAAAGTCAAACAGCAACGATCTCAAATCGCTGCAAAAGCAAATCTGGTAGAGCAAGATTAGCTGTTTCACAACTAACCGGTTTGTGAAGGGTCGAGGACAAAACTGAATAACGCTACAAGCTTATACAAAAACCGTGTACTTTGTTGCACCCTCCTCCTTTTATAGAAGAAGAATTTTATGGCCAATGCATCACATAAAGCATAAAAATTATGCCATGGTATTTATGTATTGCCGTAAAGTTCGAGCATCTAGTGGCTCACAGTGAAGAAAGTGGATTGCAACGAAGTTTGGTGCTGGCACTAGGAGCAAGTAGGAGGAGCGTGTGATGTTAAGAATGATGGTGAAATAAAAAGAATATTTGAAAATTCTATTTCTACAAAACAAAATGTAAGTATCAGGCTGCTGCATAATTTTTGTTCGATTTGAATTTTTGAATTCAAAATGTCATCACTTCTTTCAAAATCAACATTTTTCCATAATCTTAATTTTCTTGTGTTGAAAATTTCTTTGGCTATCGAGGAATATCAAGTTGCGAGATACCCTGAGAAGAGGCAAGAACTCAAACTTCGCAGCGTTCTTCTTCAGATCTGTCTTTTTTGACAAGGCAAAGCTCCCTTATGAGAAGTGACAGACATATTGGTTAACCGTGGATAGATAGAACAATTTTCGTAGATTTTTTGCGATCTAAAGGAGCCCATAGGGTCCAAACAAAAAAAGAAGCCGCCACTTGACCTCGCTTCAGTACATGTGTGCATGACTATTTACAGGGTGAGAATTATACAGTTGACGCTAGAGGAAACGCTGAGAAAGAATTGGTGGGTGGCTCCCCTGGCAAGGTGCTGAGGCGCAATGAGATCAATTCTGGTCCGCCTCAAAAGAAATGCCCTGTTAGGGTTTTACTATGGGCCCTAACAGGGCATTTCTCTTGGCCGCATAGGGACAAGGCGCGAATTCTTGAGCAAAGGCGATGCACTCCTCCTTCAATAATTTTTGGTTTTATAATTCAGTTCGAAACTCCTTCAGTAATTGCGCGCGAGAACGGATTCAGACGACAATCGCAATGCAGCTTGTATCTCGGCATTGTTATGATACACTATACGATATTACCCCAAATGGCTTAGCTGTTGCTCAGCAGGAAATGGTCAGAACTTAATTTAGCCATTCCAAACAAGCTGTATATCATCGGACTCGTCTCAAAACGCTGCCTTTAAAAGAGGTTTTTATGGTGGACCTTTATTGCCTAACGTTTCGACAAGTATCGTCGTCCTCGGAGGCCCGAAAGGGATTGCAGTTTTGAATTCGTCAGTCTATACGACCATACGCCTTCTTTAACTTGCGCGTTTAGACCTCGTCTAGGGTAAACGTACTGGAAAACAATCTGCAGTGGAGTCACCAACCTTCAGTCCACCGTGGAGTTAGTAGCCCGCACGACTGTGACAGACATCACTAAGGGGTGCTCAGTGAGTCAAAGCTATATATGCAGTCTGCGGTTATAGATGACATAATGACATGAAGGGTAGAAGGTCAGTGGTCAGTCAAGCATTCATTTTTATTATTCATCCCCGGATTTCCGGCGGATATCCATGCTGCCTCTAATGTCTTTCTTGCCGAAATTTCCGTCTCATACATTTTACATCAAAATCGTCTCCTTTATATGCCTCGACTCTACGTTTTCACAATGGTGATGACAATGTACCCCGCCTTTTACTGGCCAGATGTTCTTCATTCTGATGCTTACAAGGGAATGGTCAGAAGTCGAAGTGGCCAAACCAAACATGCTGTATACCATTCGATGCAGTATGAAACGCTGACTTAGAATCTGTCTTCCTTATTTGCTTATCGCTTCTGTGGACGAAGCGACAGGCATTTTTATTGTGGAAAAATAGTACATAAAAAGTGTGAAATTGAGCACATTTTGCAATTTCAGCTCAGCTTTAGGCTTTGAGAGTTTACAGTAAGTTAGCTGCATGTTTTGGCCCAGCATCAAGCCGAACGTGGCTCTGTACGGTCGAATTTTCTTCACGCATAATTTCTTAGCAAAATATTGGCCTTTAATGGCTTATAGCTTCGTCCAGAAAGGCGATAAGCAGATAGAGAAGACAGAGGTCAGCACTTCAGGCTGCATTTAACGGTATGCAGCTTGTCTGTTAGTATCCTTCCGGTCTCTCCTGTATAAGTTGTTCTACAACTTAAGCACTCTAGTTGGTAAACAATACCCTCCTTCGCACAATCACCTAACTTCCCGTATGGGCAAACGATGCAGTTTTCCAATATACAGTCTGCATCATACATTTCTATTTCCGATCAACCGCTCTCTGATAGTATTGCTAGGAATGTTGACCAGCATTACTTCTTTCGGTAGCTGCGCACGTGCTATGCATCGTTTAATGGCCTCACTAAATCCGTCGGATACAAAAGGCATGCAAAGCGGGATTTTGTTGTCGTTGCTTCGCGTGGATTCGCTTACTTATCTAGATGGTCTTTGCCGTGATTGCGTTATGTATCCATTGCTGCGAACAATCTTGCATGCTAGTTGCAGTGACTCTAATCGCTCGCTCTCGCTCGTACAGACTTCTGCAGCGGTTTTGTACATGTTATGAATAACGGAACGCTTCAGAGCTGCTGGATGTGCTGACGTGGTGTGGACGAGGATGTTTTTGGAGCTTTCCTTTCTGAACCATTTAATTCGAAGTTCGAACGTACCGTCAGTCAAATTTACGTGGGTGTTCAGAAAGGAAAGCCAGCCATTGTGCGGGATTTCTCGTGTAAGCTTTATGTACTGGTAGTGCTGATTCAATATTCTAAAACATTCGTCCATTTCGGACTGTGGAGGTGATAACGCAGCAGTCGTCGTAGGGGCAGTACATTGATGTCAAGCGTGCTAATACTGGTTTCTCAATTTTACTCATAAAGCAAATCGCCAGGACTGGCGCGAGTCTTTGACCCATCGCAAGTCCTCTGATCTGGGAGTAGTAATTCCCAGATCACTTGAAAATATTACAACTCAAACATGCTTTAATGAGGGTTTAGTATGCACATTTTGCTTAGCCCAAAGGTGATCATGGTGGAATAGTATTTCTAACATCTCTGAAATGGCTTGCAGAGCGGCACTGTTATGAACATTCGTGTGAAGTGATGTAACGTCAAAAGACTCGATAACACTACTCATTCTTTCACGTGTGCCCGCAGCGTGCGGTCGGTTGTATTTCTGCTCTGGCCATTTTCTCTGATCTTTCTTAATTCTTTCCTTTCTTTCGTCCTGCTATTTGTAGTCGCTCTTATTTCCTTCCGCATTGATTCTGATTCAGTATCTATTGCTCATTGCATTGATACTAGTTTGTTCTGTCAATTTCTTTG